AGTTAAAGGGTTAACTTAATAAAGCCAAACTAGTTGGCATTTATAATGATTTTAGATATATGAAATTCATATATTTTCACTGCGGTGAAGACACGAATTTAAGAGATCCTCGCAGCTAAGAACACCACTGAACTAGTAGTAAAAAATAGGACCTGAAAAAAATTCAGGCCCAAACGGGATTTGAACCCATGACCTGTGCGATACTTGTGCAGCGCTAGTTGGTATTTTTGGGGGATTTTTGAGCGGTGAAAGCCACTAGAGAGGAGATTTCCGCCAAAACGCGCGGCAAGGCTGCAAGAAGAATGGGGAGGAGAAGTTGAAAAAGCTCTCATAGCCTCCTTGCTTTTCTTGCGGCTTCTCCTTTGATAGTTTGCCAAGGTAAGAGGAAGTGTAAGTACACTGCTTTACTTGCAGTATCAGCCCTGATTCAAAAATGAAAGTCACGAGAATAAAGTAAATGATCACCAGCTAAAGAAGGTCTTAATTTTTTACACAAATTCTCCTTTTCATCATCCTATTAAATGTATAGTGAACAGTATGGAGATTATGCATACTGATTTTAGGGTGTAAAGGGTTCAGGAGAATAGCAACATCTACATTTTGAACCATGTCTCTCCACGAAAAATATATCATTATTCTGTTTTCTTTCTTTAGAAACACTGGCTTATGTGTGTTCTGCTTGAGGCGGGTGGCATCTCAAGACGGTAGGAGCTCATGTGAAAATTAGTTCTCAATTTAACTCTTCTTGTTGCCATTATTAACTTCAAGCGCCTTCAATCCACTTGAGTGGTGGGAGAAGAAACCTGGGTGAAATTAATGTAACTAAATAATCCATGACCTTGTTGGCATAACTGTTTTCATTTAAGTTCACGCCACTGTTTTCTCCCACTCACTCTTAATTGCTTCTGCTCAAGAATTGGCGCATAAATTAAACAAGATTGTATACCTCTTCTACGGCTGCAGATTCTTAAACCCTCGTATTCTAATAGAGAATAGTTCAGTCTGCCAATGTTAAATTTCACGGTAATCAATCAAAATAAATGAAGAAATAAATGAATGAGTTGACCGATAGACGGGTGGTCTATTGGACAAATTATATGAGGCAGTTTAGCGTCTTCATGCTTCATAGCACCTTTTTTCTTAACTGTTTTTTCTTTTACAGAGCGGAGGGCCATCCTCCCCCAGACACCTATTATGTAGATCAAGTGAAAAACGCGCTGCATCAGATAGAAGCCCTGGACATTCCCTCGGTTTGTGAATCAAGGTGAGGACATGGTGAGGACAGTGCTTCAAGTTTAGCTAACAAATTTATACGGCTGCCTTAGAGGAATGAAAGTGAAGCGAACCGTATTTTATTAACAAAATTTGAGCACATGACAAGAGGGTCATTACAAAGGGCTCTGTATTGAATGGTGCGTGGTGAGAACGCAGCCGTAGAGGTTTTAGCTTGCAATTAGGGAGGGGTTGGCTATTATGTCACAAAAATTAGACGTAAGTACACGGCCAAGAAAGGTCCGAGCTTCGACTTGGCTGTCTGAAAATTGTGAAATGGTTAAATCTCTGTATTTTGTTGATAGAGTTTTGCTCAAAACATTTCATTGGCACGTGTTTATTCACAGATTGAGAAGCGTAAGCAATCCTCCTCTAGCCTCGGCAGATATGCTGCTAATTAACCCACCCTGTTCATTGAAAACCTCATCAACTGCAGGTGGCTCAGACACACCTACTGCTCAGAAGAAGCACAACAACGTGGATAACTTAAGACTTCAAGGTACTATCGCGTAATAGATGATTTGGGGCCTCGTAGCACCCAACCTCCTTCTCAGGGTTTCTCTTATTCCAGTCCCCCAGGGGTGGTTAGGCACCTTGGGAACGTGGGTGAATGGTTACAAGGCCATGTGAAAATATATTTGTGACAAGTAGATATTTAAACCAAATTAGCTGCATGCTCGAAAGAAAAGAGGTACAAATGATGGCGCTTTCTTCTATTATTCCTTTAAGAATTAAAAAAATTAGGACAGACTGAAAAGAAAAAAATAGCGTTTGAATGGAAGAATGTATCTTATTACAGCAAATGCAAGTATTTCCCCCATCATCGCCTAAACGGCAGTAAAATGTTTCACAAATTTTCAAGGAGACGATTCATTTTCACTTGTCGTACATGTTTCTTTTCTGTCTTGTAAATTAAGTGAATTTTTTCTTGAATTCGTTTCCTTGTTTCACGACCTAAAGTGTTAAGCAATATCCAACTGAATACCGATGATTCAGGTGCTTAATTAGGTGTCACTTTCTCGTCTATAATCGTCCATATTAAATGAATACTTTCGAATTTGCTTCACAGATGAAGTCGAGTCCTCCGACAGTGGTAGCGTTCCCTCGACACTCCGACGAAAAGGTTCGGACAGCTCCGGAAGCATGGGCAGCTTAGGGACTAGAGGCAAACTGAGATCATTCCGGTCCCAGTTCTCTCTTAATTCAGCGGGAACGTTTAGGAAGAGCTTACCAGAAAATATACCTGATTTGTCGCAGATAGTAACAGCCAAGTATGTATATACGAATAAGGATGTGAATTGAGACGCTCTTGGGGCAATAAACGTACGATTTAGGACTGAAAAGCTTAGTACAACAAGACACATCTACACTCCTTTTAGATGGCACGTTACTTCGGCGAGGTCATTTCCCAGTGTCTACCACGTGACCGTGAATCTACCCGTCAAGAATACCCTTAATCAGAGAGACACTTCATATGAGATCTGTACATGCCCATTTACAAGTGAACCCTCCAAGCAGAAACTCAATTTGGCC